AGTCCTGGTCGGACACTCCCTGATTGCCTAAGCACCCTTTTTTCAATTTGCATATTCCACTTGCCCTTGGTCATTGTGCTTGTAGCAAGCATGGTTAAAGCCCTTCCCAAATCTTCGCTTGCGAAGCCAAGCCATCAATATCTTTTGCCACCTATCTCCAGAGTCAAATGGAATAAAATATTAAAATAGTTTTTCTGCACTGGGACAGATAAAAGAATGGACCTTTCCCATGGTCAAGGAGGAACTATGGAGATGTATTAAGATGACAAGGAATACAGAAAAAACAAAGGGGTGGCAGCTAGAAACAGCAGTCTTATGTTCACAATGGATACATGCTTTTCTGACTGCAAGAAGACAGTAGTCTAATGATGTAGGAGAGAGAAGGCAATGGCCTTGTGCTTCATGTGTTGGCTGCTCAGTGACTGTTGCATGGGCAAGAGCTTGTTGGTTCTCAGTCTTAGACTCTGTTCTGCAATGTAATTATTACCTTCAGAAACACGAGATGTACTGCGCTTAAATGTATTAGTTATTCTCATAATACTTGATAATAAAACCTGTCAATTTTTTGAGACTACAGTTTTCAAGACTACATTTTACATTTAAAATTTACATTTACTGTTTTGACAATGACTTCACAAAATGAACTTTACTGCGTAGTATTTTTAAGGGTAAGTCTTGCAAAACTGAACCAGGAGATGGTTGAGTGAAGATGGATTCTTTCTTCTGTATGTAGAAACATGATAAACTCCAGCATTGATTAGAGCAATGAATCAATCTGTTTACAAGTTTGTTTTGCAATAAATGCACAGTAAACAGCCGAGTACAAGAAGGAAGGCAGTCCAGTTTATGTCAATGGATAAATTTACACCCTGATGTTTTAAGACGTTTTCCCTATGGTGCCATTCTAGCCCACTCTTATCAAAGGGAGATTATCATTGATTTCACAAGTCACGTAATGAAAATAGCTGTTAAACACCCTTGCTCTGCAGAACTGGATTTTGCCTGCTCTTGTATTACAAAGAGAAACCCATTTGTAGGTTTGATCTGTGAGGCATGTTAGTGGAGACAAATAAGACACGTCAGATGAGCTAAGGGAACAAGCCTTATATCTAAGTGTATGGTGAAAAAATTCAGTGTGATTTAAGCTTGATGACTTAAACGAGTTTTGCATAGGACCATAAAACTGTTTGATAAAAACCAAGTGGAAAGTTAGGGTAGAACAAGTCAGTAATTCAGGAGCTTTTGGCTACTGAATCTGCATTTAGTTTGCCAGTGATCTGTGCCTCAGCTCTGTGAGAAAAAAATATAATCAAATGTACAGGATGGTGTTATAAAAGTCAGATAAGCCTCACTTTCTCCTAGGCGTGCAATGTTCACATTCATTTTAAAGTCAACCTCCTTCCTGGATTGTGTCTCCTCTTGTTTGTTTGGGAAGGATCATTTAAGCACTGTTCTGGGAGCTACAAGACTTGGACTCAGTTCTGCACTTTGCTTTAGATATCCTTGTAAACTTCTTCTTTCTCATACCCAAAAGGTGGAGACCATACTATACTCTCATTTTGATGGATAGTCTGAGGATAAACAAAACAGGTTGCATTGGTCTTATGTGGTATGAAAACAGAAATGTACCCAAATCTGAGAAGAATTCAGTTCATTTCACAGCAATTTTTATGACAAAAAATCCCCTCTTCTCCAAATGAAGGCTGTATTATTATTATTGTTGTTGTTGTTGTTATTGTTTACATTTTATCTATTGAAATTATTCCTTTTTAGTGACTAAAGTTACTATAAAGTTTTCTGGCACTATTTGTACAGTTTTGTTCACCTCGTAAACTACTGGCAATATTTGATAGTCTTCTAGATGTACAATTTAGGGTACCTATTAAAAAAATTTAATTAGATACATTGACTTCCTGATTGATAAGCAATGGCTTTATAAGCATTCTTTTCATACTTCTTAGTTGCCAAATAAAACACTGTGGTTAGAAGAGGAAAACTTCAGGAATGTATGAAGCATTTGCAAAAAGAAATTAACTTCTTTTTCTATTTTGTTGACCGGAATAGGAAGTCATCAGTCCCATCCATAGCACATCTTATTCTAAAAATAAAATAAAGGTTTTAAAATCTCAGCTTGATAACACAAAAGAAATCAGAACACCACAGGAATTTTCAGTGTTCAGTTCAAGATGTCCTTTAGCTGAGTTAAAGAATAGACAATTATTTAGGTGTGACACATATGCTTGTTTTATTGACCTGTCCATCTGTCCTACTGCTAAAATGTAGGTAGACATGTGTGATCTTGGGACTCATGTGCTTCCAACACAAGTATTTAGGAACAACATGTGCCGAGGCACTAAGATTTTGCCTTTGCTAGTCTTTCAAACTTCAGTACTGTAAAATAGAAGACATCTCAACAGATAAGGATCACATTATATTATGCATAATGTATTTTTCTTCTCCAGCCTCAATGAGATGCCTTCCTACCAACTTCAAAAAAAAAAGGAACTTCGCAAGTCAAGCTCATTATTTCTTTCATAGGAGCCTGCCAGGCGAAGTAGTAAATCCAATAGCGTATACATAGATCACATTGCTATCACCACATTAAGTGACTCCAAGAGGCCTTACCTCAGCCACATTCCTGCAAAATCTCTAGTTTGTGTAATCCTCAAAAGAAAAAAACATCTCTTGTGTACACTGACGCTTTAACCCTATTTTAGTCATTCAGCTCCATTAGAGGAGTTTGCTTACCGGTTACTTGACCAAATCATAACCATTTCAGGTTAAATATTCCATTATATGTTATTGCATCCAGAGGATTAGACTCACTTCTCTCTGGAAATATTTCTCATCAGGCCTCCCATTCCCATAAGCATAGTAGCACAGTGAAACATTAAGCCAGCTAGAAACACGCAGGTCCATGGGACCAGATATGATTCACTCAAGGGTGTGGAAAGAGCTGGACAATGTCATTGCAAGCCTTGCTCTTTAGCATCTTCAGCTCAACCAACTATATCACCTTTGATTACTTTGATTCCTGATGGTGATGGAAAGGTAAATGTTGCATGCACCCTCAAGAACGGCAAGAAAGAGGATTCAGGGCTCTGATGGCTGGTTAGCCTCAGCTAGGTCCCTGGAAAAGTGATGGCGAAAATCCTCCTCAAAGCCACTTCCAGCCATGAAAAGGACAAGAACACACCATAGGCAAATTCTGCTCAACCAACTTGATTGTTTTCTATTGTGACATGAGTGGCTGTGTGGAAAAAGGGAGGGCAGCACATGCTCTGCACTTTGACATTTGGAAGGTGCTTGCATGACTGCTATAATCTCCTGTAAACTCCTTAAAGCCAAGCCAGTGAGATATAGGCAGGCTATACAGACAAATAAATAAACAGAAAACTGTCTGGACTGCTAAGTTCAAAGGTTGGTGATGGCTGCACGAGGTCCAGCTCATGGCCAGTTAGTAGTGGTATGGCAGGGGAACTGCTACAGTTTAACGCGTTCATTAATGATGTGGATGATGGGTTGGACAGCACTCTCGCAGTGTTTGAAGATGACACCAACCTGGGGGTCATGTTCAATGTTGGAATGCAGGGCTACTGTTCAAACAGGACAGGCTGGAGAAATTGGTTGATGGGTACCCCACAGAATATGTTGATCAGAGCCCAGTACAATGCTGGGCCTCTTGGATGGACAAAGCCCTGTAGGAGAGGCTGGGGCCAGCCAGCTGGGAGCAGCTCTGATGATCCTAGCACAATATCGGAAGATCCTGGTGGACACAACATGATCAGAAGACAGGAGTGCATTCATGCAGCAAAGCAGTCCCCACACTCAGGGCTGCATCAGCAAGGGGAAGGAATCCTTCCCAGGTGCTCAGCACTGGTGAGACCACACTGGTGTGCTGTCCCCCGGTTTGGGCTCCCATCGGAGGACAAGTGCTGACATGTAGGAGTAAGCTCAGTGGAGAGTCCCTGTGATGGCTGGAATTGGAGCACAAGGAGGGCAAGGTGGAGGACAATCGGCTGAGGAAAGGAAGGGAAGAACTCACTGCTGTTACAACTGCCTGGTGGGAAGGTATAGAGAAGAGAAAGCCATTCTCTGCTCAGAGATGCACAGCAACAGGATGAGAGGTAATAGGCACATGCTGGAATACAGGAAATCCACATTAGGCACTAGGAAAAACTTCTGTCACATGAGGATGGTAACAATATTGAAACAAAGCCCAGGGTAGTCGCTGGAGATATTCAAACCTCAAATGGCCAAAGTCCTGGAGCAACCTGATCTAACTGGACCTTTTTCAAGCAGGGAGTTGGAGCAGACAACCTGGAGCAACCTGATCTAACTGGACCTTTTTCAAGCAGGGAGTTGGATCAGACAACCTAAATTATCCTGTAACTCCATTTTAATGGTGAATTGCTTCAGCTAAAGCTCAACTTCTTTGGAGAATAAATTCAGAGAAATATTAACTCTTTGATGTAAATTTCAACCAATAACAATAAATTTGACAAATGTTTTGTGAGAACTGCTTTAAATATATCAGACAAAATAAAAGTAATGATACTTTTAGGTACGGAAGCTTGCTCTGCAGTTGGGATGATGCTTTTTGCTAGAACAGTAGTTTTCCCTTCAGCTAACAGCAGTGCTACCCTGTAGGAAGACACCAGGATCTGTGCTGCATAAGGATGCCTAGAGAATCAAGACACCTTTTGAGAATGAAGCCAGGTGGGCAGAAGATGATGCTGGGTTTTTGCTTTTAATATAAATTATGCCTACTAAGAAAAGCAGGTTCACCTGCCCAGCTGAACAGAAAATCCCAGACTTCAGAATTCCATCCATGTCTCTGATAACTATTTCAAGCCATGAATATACACCAGCTACATAAGAAGGAACAATTAATAATTTCCTTATCAATGTTTAGAGATTGTCTGAAATTCACCTACATGACAAGAATGTACCACTCCCTTTGAGCGACCTGAAGTGAGGTCTCCAGAGTAGCAAAGTAATATAACTGAGGAAGATAGAACAGCTTCATAAAGCATATCACTCTGCTTTGCTTAGATTGAATGGGAAGGGCTGGCTAAGAGGAGAGGCTTTGGGAAAATGCCTACAGCTAGGTAAGGTTGGCACTCTCTCTGTTTATTTGTAAGGGAAAGGAAGGATTTTCCAAGTGGTTATGATGAAGAGAATAGCCTGGAGGAAAACTAAGTGAAAAGTTGCCATTGCAACAGCCCATACAGAGGAGATCTCTTCGGCAGCTCCCTCAAGCAAGGTTTCACTGGCAATGAAGCAGGGATCAGTTGGGCTTGCCCCTTCCCCAGCCTTTCAATAGCACTGGGACAGATGTCTGAACCTCTCCCGGAGACAAACCTGGAACTTGGTCTTCCTGTGTGATGGCTGTGACCACTGCTGTATATTAAAATTTATACTAGTGAGTGTATTCTTTCTTCCTTGTTTTTAAGTGATTAATGACTCATGCTGTCTTTCCTGCTGTATCTGTGCCCTGTGGATATGTGTTGAGCCTCCCAGCATGCTTATATCAAAGGGTCTGTAGTTTAAGGACTGGTGCTGTGCAATGGTCACTGAGGTACTCAGCACTGGCTCAGTGGCATTGCTGTGCACAGAACTACAGACATGAAAAGAAGAATGCTGGTAAACATGCAAGTCCAAGTCTTTCTTGCAGCAAAGCCTTTAGATGTGGATCAGGGTGTATGCTTTTTCTCGTTTCCTTTCACATGACATTACTCCATTATTCTTGTCTTTAAAAGTCATATATTGGCATAGTGCTGCATATTACTGTATAGTGCTAAAGGCACATCAGTCTCAAAATTATTTTAGTACAAATACTCTTCAGCAGCAAATACTCTTGAATGTCAGTGGTTCATACAAGGCACTGGGAGAACAAGTACGTATTTCCTGTCACATCCTAGCAACCCACCTTTATTACAATTTGGAAGAGAGGTTTCATTGTTAGATTTACAAGTGAAGATCTGCTTTTTCAGCTTAGTGCCTGTTCTCACCTTGATCTTATGCAGCAGTTTCAAGATGTGCTTTCATGGCCTTTGCTGAACCCTCCAGATGGATTTCACAATGATACAACATCTCCTTGGCCTATTTAATTTTTTTATCTTGCCACAGAAAGCTATCCTAATGTGAAGCAACTGAAAATAAACCCACCCCAAAACACAACCCTGCATTGAAGGAAACTGGTAACCCTAAGTGAAACATCTTTCTTTAAGACCAAGCTATGCCAAGGGGAGATGGTTGTCTATCCCATTTCTGCAAAGGGATGTACTTCACGCACAGCTGATTTGGGGTTTTGGAAGGACTTTGGATGGAAGCAAGCGGTGCTGTTGACTCACTGCCAGTTCCCTCCGGATGGGGCCTCTCTCCCCCGCCTCATGGGCTGGCTGGCTTCCCCATCCCTACAGTTTGATGCCAGGAAAGGCGAGGGGTTTCTGTGCCTCTGCAGGATTTACACCTGACCATGGCTGATGCAGTCCTGACACGACAAGAAAGTAAACTCCATCCCTGTTGCCTGGCCGCACCCTTTTAAAGGAATTTGCTGCATGCTCCTATATAGCCGCAGATTGTACAACCGCTGGCTTTGATGGTTGAATCACAGCGGCCTATGCAAAAACAAGGGTGGCAATCTCAGTGAAACTCCCAAGTCTTTCAGCTCCTGAGTGACTTCTAACCATTTGAAAACTCACGTGGTTTCCTGCAGCTTTCCTCCTTGCCGGGCCTTTTTTTCTGATGCCACTTGGACTGAGAGAGATTGGGAATTACGGCATGCATGCACCACTGCAGAGCAGCCAAGTGGGTCCAAGAGCAAAGTAAAACTTGTGTGGACAGCTGTAACAGCACTTGCATATATTTGCTCCTTAACATGCACTTTGCAAATCTAATGTGGAGGATGTATGTGCAGCCTAACAAATGTAAAGGCAGTGGATGGCAAGCCAGGTCACGCTGCACTTTAGAAGAGTTGTGGAGATAAAAGCAGAGCCTTGAAGCTCAAGCAGCATTCCACTTAAAAACTGCTGGAGAGGGCAATTCCATGTCCATTTTCCAACTCAAGCTCCCACTAATTTCGTCTTTCCATAAGAAAGGTTTTAGCTATATTTCACAAGTGGAAGATCACACACTGGTGTGTTTCTCCTCCTGCTGGCTTCCAGCTAAATTACTGCTAATACTGAGACATCACAGCACAGAATCAAAACAGTCTGAAGAAATTAGAGATCTGGTTGTCTGAAGTACAACTGAGAAATAATGAAATATACCTCCAGTGAATATTTGACAGCTTTTTCTTTGCAGAGAAGATTAAGGCAGAGACAAAATGATACAGCTGAGATTTTTCTTTTTGAACACTTACTGAACAGCTCTTGTAAAAAGGCATAATAACAGTAATAATAATGGTAAGGATGATAACAACAACAATAAAAATAATGTAATTTAAATTTCTGAAGGCAAAACACTCCTGTCAGAGAAATGAAAGACATTTTGCAGGGTAGCCTTTGTTATTGCAAAAAGGAAAGAGCTTGCTGGTCACAGTAGTCAGGAGACCCATGTTTTTTATTTCCAGCTGAGCTGCATGTTTCCTGTGTGACCTTGCAACTCCCCCGTACCTCCGTTTTCCGTTTGTAATGTTGGATAATAGATATCTTGGCGAAGCAAGGCTGATCCTCTAATTGCAGAAACATGACATGTAGTGTTCCCAAGGGGATCCTTTGATCCTCACTTATGCTGCTGGAGGAGGAATGTGCCACTCTCTTTTTCACTGAATTTGGGAGGCTGCTTTAGGAGAAGTGTGTTCTTTTTGCCTCTCTCAGGAGGAGCTAAGGAAACCCAGAAGGATGGAGAAGGTGTCACAAATTGTTTTCAAGGAGTGGGAGGTGACAGAAGGAAGCAGTCCCCAAGCACCTGAAACTGAAAATTACTGGGCCCTTCCCAGCTCAGGTTCCCTTTTTAGGCTCTTACTAAGACCCTTTTGCCTTTCCTTGGAGACAAGAACACTGCCTTTATGTCTTGTTTAGTTTGCTTCCTCTGAACTGCATTTTCAGGGATGACACCTTGTGAAAATCAATGCAAAATCCTACCCCAACAGTGCAACATGCTTTTTGCCTTCATTTTGCTCAGGCAAAATCAGCTCACTCCTATATGAAGGCAAGGGAAAGACACCCTTTCAACTTCTCTATCTCAACAGATGCTCTCCTGGTTTCTAACCAGGGTGTGTGCCTGGCTGTACTGGGGCAATGCAGCAAAACTGGTGGGATGCCATAGATTTCACAGAACAGAAAAGAGCTCAGAAAGTGTCTCCTGTAGCAAATTTGGCATTCTGTGACGTATATGCCAAGGACAATAGGGTGGCAGATTCCAAGTGACACTCAACAGAGGAAACACGTGTCCAGCACACAGCTGGAGGCATCTAGACATAGGAAAGCCAGTGTCTCTCAGACTCTCTGGGATTTTCTTCTAAAGCAGGCTGAGTGGAGGTTGGAGAGTACACCCAGCACCCCACTGGGATGTGGCTGGGGTCCTTCCCATGCTCAGCAGCATGGGGCTCCTTGTGGAGGTCCTGAGGCTAAGTGGTGGGCACAGTAGCTGCATGATTTAGGGAATGGCAGGCTCTCCTTGGAACCTTGGAAACCGGGGGTGGTTTGCACAACCTGGGCTGTCCCAGGAGAATAAAAGTTATTATGCATGCCCACCACCCCTCTACTAGTACTACAGTTTGCATTCATGACTTTTCAAGATGGGTAGGCAGAAAAACTGGGTGAAGATGTCCAGCTCCTTCACAGCTACTCTTAGTTGTTTAAATCAACCTGGCAAGGAAAGGATTTTCTGCATTAATTCAGGAGTACAGGAAACAGATTAAGGAAGATGCAACCTGTAAGTTTATGTGTTTCTTTCTGTTAAGTAAGGATCATGTTTAGAAAACAACGAAGCTAAACTTCTGCTTTGCCTATTTTAAACTGTGTTCCTGCCGAAGGGAACAGATTGCATCTCCTGACGGAGGGCTCATCTGTGAAACCTGGCATCCTTCCCTGTGCCACCTGTCCCAGTAGTTCACCATGTCTGCTCTCCACAGCTTAGACAGCGGCACATGTGGAGCCTAGATCTTGCTGGTAAAATATGTAGCAAAGCTGAAAGCTGCAGTCTCTGGTGAGACCTCTTCTGCTCCAGGAGACAGTCTCCAAAGTGTTCACACTGACTGTGGGGTAAATAGAGGGTAAAACTGGCCATAAGCAGTCTATGGTGTTTTCAGAATAGTGCTGGGGGACAGGACTCTTTCCTTGGTTCCGCATGTCCAACATGTAAGGAAATGCAAGGTGAAACCACACTGTAAATTAAGCGGTATTAAGTGGTAGCTGTGGTATAAATATACATTGCTGCCCAGCACCTCTGCAGCTATTCAAATTCAAATGGTGATTTCAAGGAGAGGCAGCCCTAAGCAGTGCTTGAGTGGAGGGATTTAAAACATTTTTGAAAGGTTTTATCCCAGGAGCAACATACAGAACTGAATAAGCAAATGCTTGCTTTGGGCTCCAGCTGCTACACTGTGAGAGATAGCAAGCCAGCAGAGGTAAAGGGCTGGACCCCCAGCAGACTTGGCCAGGTTTTTGGGTGCATGTGTTTTGGTCAGTCCTGGGGGTTAAAGGAGCCCGTGGCAGATAGCTCACAAAAGGCAGCAGAATAGCCCATGAAGGAGCACAATGGCAATACTGTTTCCCATAGACTAAAATAATGAATCATAGCTTCCCCTTGCTACTGTTGTTCACATAACCTTTACAATAATTTATAATTAAATTAGTTGCCCTTTGGATAGGTGCACATGTGGTTTTTTTAAGGGTTGCTAAGGTAACTGATGATTTCCTTATTTCATCCTGTGTAAGCGGAAATTTTACTTCCTAGTGAGCATGAACAAGAGACTCAGTGAAAACAGATACTTGTTTATCAGGAGTTTCAGTGGTTCTGCTGATATCAGGCAAAGGACTCTCAACCTATTTTATGGGGGATTGCTTATATTATTTAATTTTAATGGTAAAAGAAGAGCTAGAGTAACCCTTCTGACTTGTTTCATCTAAAAGATAAGGGAGTGGAATTTTTATTTCAATTTTTTAAAAGTCTTGCATTTCTCATAAATTTTTACTCAGCCTGTTTGTTTTGCTATTTTCTCTCCTCTAGCTAGAAGTTACTGCTACTCATGCAAAAGAAAGAAGGCAAGAAAAGTCTGTGTGTATGGTATTGTGCCTCTGCTTGACCTGACCAATTCTCTCTTCTGAAGAGCAGATGAGATTTTATAAATAAACAGCTGAAGAGAGAATTATTTCTTCTCTCCCTCTGTCCTCTCCCACGTACACAGGATGAAGGCCAGAGAACAGAGGGAAGCTACAACAGAAGCTAAGCTGCATGTCCCTCCACTGTGGGAAACCCTATACACACCTTCAAATTAAACAGCAAATTCTCCAATGTCCTTGCCCTCTTCTACTCCATAGCACATGACAAAAGGAAAGAAGCTCCAGCTTCTGAGAAAAAGAAATAAACATAAGCATACTATCAGCATACTCTAGTAGCCAGCTGATCCTGTAATCCCCAAGTCCCTGTATGCTGTTCAGCAGCAGTCCTCTGCCCACACAGCATGCATACTGCGAGCAGCTTGCTCCCCTGCTTGTGGTGCGAGCAAATGGACTAAGAGGGGCAGCAGTGCCTTGAGAGGAGGCCTGTGATGGGTAACGGCACAAAGAGCAAGATGGCCTTGTGCAGGGAATTCCCCTTGTCTCACTGAGACTCTCTTGTGCATCCTGCTCTACCGATTTTATCCCCAAGCGATCTGGCTTTCCCTCAGCAGTGGGATGGAGAGAGTCAGCCACAGACATTGCCCCACCTCCCAGAGCGTGCATCTGTGCAAGGCACTGATGCTGCTGGCAGCACAGCAAAGAGCTCTGGTAGCCATTGCTTTGCGGCCATACTCATGTGCAGATGTGTAAAAGAAATTCCTCCAGGAAATATTGGCTGGAGGTTTAAAAGTAGTCTGTAATTTGATGCAATAGAGGACAAAGGTGAGTACATTTTATTATTTAATCTGTCAGACAGTTCAATGCAATTCAAGGTTATTGTAATAAATAGAAATGTTTACCTAACCTTTCCCCATCTGATTCATCATGAATTGTGTGACATGTCCTCGGTGACACAGGGCTGTATAACTATAACCAAGAAACAATCAGATAAGAGCTTTACAGTGTATATCAAGATAGACATGTCCTAGGATGCAGTTCTGTATGTATATTCCACTGACTGTTGCTCACATGAAGTTTCATACAAAAACTAAACCCCACATGAATTCTTCAAACTGACATCCCAAGAGCTTTCAAAGTTAACATTTCAATCTCTGTTTCCTCCTGCTGTCTTGGTAAGGATTCTTGAGACTCTTGAGTAAGGATTCTTAAGACTCTTGAGTAAGTGACACCAATATTGAGAACAAAATGGTTCATACCATGCTTTCTCTATGACCATGGCAGGAACGTTACTCTGAGTCACTCTGACAGAATAAAAGCCCCAGTTATTCATCAGGAGTAAAGACTTCTGTCAGAAGGTGTCTCAGACTACTTAGGGAGCATGAAAGTTTACACTGTGTCTATTTTCAGTAAAGCAATCTGGTTGATGGTTTTTGATTTTCCATCAAAAAGATACCATACGTTCTAACCAAAGCTTTCCATAAAGGAAAGTTACTTATAAGAAAATTTTTCAAGTCAAAACAATTTAGTTTTCCTTTTAGTTGACAGTTTAAAAAAAATAATAAACAAATCTAAGCTTAATTCATGAAGGAATTTTCATTTAAAGATCATAGGGAATTAAGTCTATGGTTGATCATTTAGATGTTAAATATTATTGAGAGTAAGTCTATGGTCAAAATCAAGCCAAAACTCATCATGACATTGGAATTTCCAAAGTTTCACTTTTAATTTTTTTCTTGATTTTTGACCTTTTGTCCTGACCAGGTTTGGGACTTTGTATTCTATGTTGAAAACTTGGAGTCAGGAACTATTTCCCTCTTGAGATTTTAGGTTTTAAAAGGAGAAAAGACATACACAACCAGCAGAAGTAAGCAAACGGAAGAGTGATTCAAAACATGTTGCAGATACTGAGTTTCTTCCAAGGTCTCAATCCTTTTATTCTGGAGAGTTTCCTTTTGTTACATAAATCAATAGCTGGCCAGCAGAACCAAGCTAATTAATTCTTAGGATGACTGACTCTTGTTAAATGTGCAGGGCATTTAAAGCTGTCTGTCACTGCCTGTTGAAGCAAGCCGCACATTTGGTCTCATTCTGGCTTCCCCAAGAGTAGTGGCAGCAGCCTTTATTTGGCAGAAATCCCAGCTGTCACCTCGTGGAGGACGGTGCAATTGTAGAGTGCAGGGGTCTCACAAAAGCTGAGACCTTTGTTGGGCAAAGGTAGGACTTGAGTTGTGTGCAGAGTGCCTGGGAAGAGGAGGTTGCTCCTGGAAGAGGTGTGATATTCCCACACTGGCCCAGGTTGCTGGTTTGGTCTGTTGAAATGCAGTGTTGGAGCATGTTTGCAGAAGCTGTTTCCAAGCAAAAGTGGGGAAAGTCACAGGAGGTAACAGGATGAGTAACTGTGGTTAAGCTCACATGTGCCAGTGGGGAAGGAGAACTTTGCAAATGGAGTGTCATTTCTCTGCAGATGTATCTTTTAACGTTAAAGAAAGAAACCAGAAGAGCCTTTCAGAAGTAAACCAAAGAGCTCTTTTTCAGAAGGTTAGAATCCACCTGGAGTAGTCACAGAAATAAATTGTTCAAACAATATGAACATGTAACAAGTGGGAATAACCTGGGATTTGAAGCTGTCTGACTAGAAAAAGACTCACTAAATTTCAGAGTGCCAAAGCAAAAGTATAAATAACAAATCATAAAAGTGCAAATTAAAAGTAATACTGATTCTTGTATGGCAAAACACCCCCTTTTTGCTTTTTAAAGCATGCTGACCCTTTATCACCTCAGGTGTTTCAGATCTGGGCAATGGTACAAAACTAACGACATTTAAGCATTGATGTTTTGTGGGCTTGTACAACCACAGCCTTGCAACTGGCTATTCCGTTTCATTGTATATAAAAAAAAAGCAAAACAAAATAATGGAAGATAAGGGGACAGCCATTCACACAGAATTCTACTGGCAGGTCAATGCTGAGAAAGGAACTGAAGAAATTCAGAACAAACTCAGAAACTTCAGAAAACAACTGAAGCATGGCATTAACCTTGCCACTTGGCATGTGGGAAAATGTATAAATAGAATACCATGCATCTATTTAATTTCTGCTGCCTTCTCTGATTTCAGTGCTGGTATACTACATAGCAGCAGTTAATCACATCAAACATACAGAAAACTTACTGGTGTAAAGTTGGTGTAAAATTAAAACTTTGTTAATCATTTACATGCAAAGAATAGTTAGCAACTACACTATTTACAATACTTTGAAGTGTCCTAGGCACCTAAATGCATTCTAGTGGAATAAATGACACATAAAATGTAGATTGCAAGACACTGAAATTTGAATTTATACTGCATCCACAGTCCTGCCCTTTGACTGTGTGCTCTCACACAGAAAAAGGAGTCTCCTCCTCTGAGCATTTTTGAATAGCATCTTACAGATGTTAGGAATACCTCAAGAGTGAAATTATACAGTTTTATTTGAATAAATGCTTGTTGTATTCATTTTGTTGTTGACATGCTTTTGGAGAATTGCCTCTCATTCAGTAAGGCTATATTAACAGTACTATCATCTCCTCAAGGAAGGGACTGCTTCTTAACAAGAATATGTAATAGTACCCAGAGAATATGTAGTAACACCCAGAGCAAAGGTAAATTAAAGCTAACCAGAACTGCTGTGTGGTTTTATAACACAAATAATAATATTACCATGAAGACAAGTAATTATGCCTCTAGCCACGCACAATCTGAATTCTTGCCAGCTTTGTTTCATCTGTACCTTTATAAACAAGTGCCTGTTCAAATCCTCTTCTGCAAGCTTTTAAGGCCCTCCATGAACCAGACGTAAGCTGTTCCTCAGCTCTTCTCAACACTGAACTCACCATTCTCACTCTAGTGATGTCTGTTGCTCTAGAGCAGATAGTCTTTCCGGCATGCTGCTACTTCTGCAGAAGATGCCCCCATGCCCACCCCTGGCCTTCCCTCTGCCAGCTAGTTATCATACTGCCTTTGAGTAGGAGGGTAAGGATTTTCCAAATGACCTCAGCACACATTTCATCTTCTAGATTTGCAATGCCTCTGGTGTGAGCATGACAATGCCTCTGGGCACGGAATAGGGGGATTTCCGCAGTAGCTGCCTTTGTACATGCCATCAGTCATGAAGTCTGCGAGTGTCTGCGAGTGTCACAAAGCACCTGGTTTGTTCAGACCTTAGTGAACTGTGATGTGCAGGACAGTTGAGAGTCATCCTCTTTCTGCTGCATTTCACTCGGCAGAGGGTAGAGAGGCTGAAGTGGAGTCTGTTCAGAAGGAGTGGAAAACCTTGTATATTCACATACTGGAGGTGAACCCTGCATAATAAGAAACTTTCTGACTTGATGTTCTGGTTTTGCCTATGTGCACAAGGTTTTCAGCCTGAATCTCTGCACCCAGGACCTCCCTTATGTAGAGATTCAGGAATTTTCAGCATAAACCTCTGAAAGGGAGACAGAGGTGGACAGAGGTGGCATGAGTCTAGGGGAGAAGAGTGAGTGATGGTTGATGGTGAAGCAGCAAACAGCATGCTGCACACTCATCTCTGCTTTTTGAGATCTCATCCCAGAGCTGGCAGTGGCATTTGTGCATGTGCTACTGAAGTCTGCCCAGTCTTAGCCAAAGACTATTGGCTAAGTTGCGGTCTGGGAATGCAACCTTTGTGCATTTTCCCCAGGCATTTCTAGTATTTATTCTGTTTAATTAGTGAAATGAGTATAAAAGTAATCAGCACAGAATTAGTGGCCTCAGCTCATCTATCAAGCTTTATGGATTCATCAGTGTGAAGGGGATTGCCCTTTCTTTCAAAGGCACTAAGAACTTGCAACTCCCATGTGTGTTGATGGGACTGAGCATATTTTTGGCCACCATTAATGAGAAATCAGATATTCATTACTACTAGATGACCTAATGAAGCCTTCCCGTCAGGTCACACAGCCAAGCTGAGATATATAAGGCCAAAGAAGACAGATGTTTGCATACAGATAATCTGTAGGCAAAACATTTTTTCCCCTGTTAACATGGATTCTTCAGCTATCAACATTGCAACTTTTGACTTTCGGCATCAGCCGTTGTTTTTCTCCTGTTTGCATGTTTCATAATCTCTTCTTGGCTAATCTTAACAGTTCCCTTCTAATTGCAATTAATTAGTAAACAGGATAGGAAAGGTGTCCTAACAGGTAGGCATGCATAGAAGACAAGAATGACTTTGAAGTACTGACCACAAGGCTGTGGGTGGCTGAATGTTTGTATCATTATTGAGAGAGAAATATCCAGAGGCTTCAGTGGAAAAAAACCGTCAGGAGGGGAGAGGAAGTTTAAGGTATTTAAAAGATCTGCTACCTCCTCAAAAATCGTAAAGGAATGATCCTCCAAACAGGTCATAAATGGAGGAATGAGAATAATTTGGGGATTTAAGTGGTATTCTGTGATTTGTCTTATAAAACATTTATTTTAAAGTAGTTATTTCAGGATATAATTTTTTTAATTATTATTATTATATATAAAGAGGTTTTGTCTACTTCTGGCTTCAGAAATTTTGTCTTTCCAGGTCTGGATTTCCCTGGGTCTGCCGCTGGGTGCATGATCTTTTAGGAAGGACAGAGGATTTAAGATATTTTATGAGCAATCACACTTTACGCCAGGGTCCTGGTGTCTTGAATCTCAAGGAAACCCTTTACCCACATGTTTAAACAAGGCTTAGAGTTGTACAGCCAAAGCACCTGTGTTCAGCAGTTCAATTAAAAATGTTTTCCCATACCCAGTGAACAATGTTTTCCAGCTGGCTGTTGAATATCAGCAGGGAGAAAAATGGGTCGTGATCTCTATCTAGACTTACATGCTTTTGTAACGCATGAAAATGAAGAAGATAATACAAATCCATTTAATGACTGCATGGCATAATAAAAACTAGTTCTGGAGTTGCCTACAGTTTACATCACATGATTTTTTTTCTAAAATGAATAGGGTACAATGACAGCTAAGCAAAATGTGCACAGGTTGGAGTTGGAGAGTTGTTAAAGAGCCTGAACTATTTATATTTATTCTTCGTTATCTGGATGACAATAGCTCTGCACAGGTGTGGAACCTGTGCACTTGGCACTGCAGAACTGAGTGGCAACATGCACATAACCATTTTGGTGCACAAAGGGATGCTACCCGCCCCTTGTGGCTATACATGTGATTCACACTGCTGTGGGCTCTGGACAAGTGGTACCCCCGGAGGCTGATGAAAGCCATAGGCTGAGCCCTCGTAGCCCAAACAGCCAGAGAACAAATGAAAAATCAAGTTAAAAGATTCATCCAAAAATGATATTATATCTTAATGGTATGTCTGTGAGTCATGCTTTTACCTTCTCAGATCTCATCTTAATGAGGAAGCCACATGGGACAAAACTACACAAGGTTTTTGTGGATAAATGAGCAAGGCAGTTTTGCATCACAGACAGGCTAGGTACCTTGTGTGAGAAATGTCAGAATAAGAGAGAAAACCAGAGAAATAACAGTGTTGGGAAAACTCTCAGAACAGGAAGCTGTGAAAATTTTATAGTGGGGTTAGAACTAACAGAACAGACTTGCGGAAAATTTTAAGCCTGGAATATTACCTTGACTTAGCATTTTGAAAGGCCTTGGGAATCCAGAGAAAATCGTATAGAAGGGCACTTCAGTATTCAAATTAAGACTTAAAGCCCCAACAAGGAAGAGGATGCAGGGCAATGGATTACATGAAAACAGAAGAAAGGAAGCAATGTTTTTTATAATTAGAGTAGAATAAGCCAAAGATATGATCTATGATATGGGAAGGGGCAAAGATGCTAACAATGGTTGAGAAAAATGTAAGTAACAAGATCAAAAAGGGAAAAAAACCTCAATCTGTCTGGAACAGAGTCCAACTCAGAGGTGCTTATGAATCAACAGGATGAAAGAACTGATTATATTGCCCAAGGAGAAGGCAGAAACACAGGGACAAAATAGAAGTTCTGAAGGGCAAATACCAATAATTGTAGAAGTGAAAGGAAAGCTTGCCATGCAAGTTAGGAAGGAACAACCAGCTGTACACAAAGAAAGGACTGAGTCATGAAACCCAAAGTTAAACAAAACCCAAACCAAAAACCAAACCTAAAATATCCAGCAAGTAACATCTGATAATAAGAGGAAAAATGAAAAATAATTTGGAAAGCTTTCCACTCTGAACTACATAAACAGTATTTAATTATTGGGAGTAACAGGAAGAAAAATCCCATGACTCTCTTTAAACCCAGAATGGATTGCAAATCCAAAACATAGGAAGAGGAAGAAAGCATGTACAATATTGTTTCCTAAAGCAGTAAAAACAAGACCCATGAGATACACTGAGTTTGAATGAATTGAATTTGTATAGTGCATATTACGCTAGATACTCAGTCTGAGAGTTAGTTAGCATTTCCTTACTTTCCTCCCTTCTGTACCTGCTGTCTGATCACAGAAGTGTGCCATTCACAGAAATGCTGTATATTCCTGTCATGTCTGTACCTGCTCTTGACTGTGTTTGTTTGGGTGTATATTCAACTCTTTCACCTAAGGACAGCAAGTTAGTAGCAGACAGCTGAATTCAGATGAGTAGATGCCCTTTTCCCCCTCCCCAATGCAGATGTTTAAATGACACACCTTTTGTGTACTAATACCAATGAACAACTCTTCTGAGAACCCAGGAAGGGTGGTAGGAAGAGCACTGCATGTATTTTAGCAGCTAAAAATGGGCAGGTATTTGATAAATCAGCTTTCATGTGCGTGGTTAGTTGGGGAAGTGGTTACTGTTGTTAATACTTATGATGACTGTCATTTACTCCAGCCTCTTAGACAGAAGCTTGATTTCTGGGGGTTGATTATAGACATGATAACCTTGCAAATTCAACAAAGCTCATTTTACTAAAGCTCAGGTGCTGCAGAAAGTGTGTGCCAAGGGGAAGGGAGTGTCTGTGGCTCTTGGCAACGTGGAGCACACCCATCATCACACCAGCAACAGGAACTCCTGGGCATGGGAAACTACAACCAGAGGAACAGCTCCCACCACAATTCCTGTCCCTCTCCATACTGGGAAGAGACACTCCAGTTTCAAATCAGTGATGGACATTGATGACGGACTTGGTTATAAGCAGGTGTGGCAGCTTTTACTACAGGGTGCAAATATTGAGGGAGAAGGAGAAATCAAGTCTAGTCAAAAAGCTAGTTGTTGTGGAAAGCCTGGTGCAGACTACAGGGAGCCAAGGATCAGATCATGTAAATTTTTTCTGTGTCACTATGGTTGTTTTTATAAAAAAAATTAAGTCCCTTCCCAATGTGCCCGTTCACCCTCAGCAACCTGTAAGTCTTGATTTTGTAAAGAAAAGGCACAGTTTAAGATGAATCAGGCCAGCCACGCTGTGTCCTAGACATGGTCTTGTGTCTTGTTTAATGACGCTCCTTGAAGGCACTCACCTTTTCTAATCGTGAGTGAGATGGTGTAAAACATTGCATAGTCCAGAATTTGGTCTAATACAGACCAGCTGAGACCCTGATGCTGTTTTACTGGTTTTATGCCAATCTAAGCAAATGCTAAGCCTTGATATTTTTTATACATGCATTTCCTACAGGGCACACAGTGTTTCAGTGCAATTAGTGAAAGGCAGAAGTCTCAGCAGAAATTGCCAAGAAAGGCAGATGTTAGTTTTCTTCTGTGAGTCTCAAGGATAATGCTTTTTAATATATTTTTCTGACTTGTCAAAACATCCAACATATTCCCAGGTCTATTGCTCTGATCAAAAAAACCCCGTAAGAAGCAAGGCCCATCTCTAAGTTTGGACTATGTGAATTAACTGGGCTTTTTTGACATTGTCCTCACTTTCCTTTGTGTCTGATTTATTGAGGTAATTCTTTGAACCTTGCT